CCCACTTTGGAGGACAGTCGAAAAATAGAGCCCCATTGGGCTATATTTTAGGAAATACGGTAGTTAGGGAATAGAAAAAATTCAAATATTTACAGTAGAAAAAGGAAAAAAAGATGAAAATCTTTTTTTTTGTTTATTTATAAAGAAAAAAAAGATAATAATAAATAAATAAAATAATATTCCTTTTATTGGATAGAAGGGGGAATAAATATTTGGTTGAATGAATTAAAAAAAATAAGAAAAGATAACATCTGCGCTTTTATAAAATAAATTCACGCAAAATTGGTATTTTTATTTAAATAATAAGTGTTTGAAGTAAATTTTAATTTAAATTAAATAAAAGGAAAACAAGAAAAAAATAATTTTAAAAATTTAAAAATTAATTAATTAAACATTATCTTACAAAAAAATTTTTTTTCTTTAAAATTCTCAATAAAAATAAATAAATTTATAACAAAAAAAGAAAACATTTTTATATTTTTCTGTTTAATGGTATAGCCTAGAAGCAATAAAAAGAAAATAAATAAATATTATTTTTAAAGGAAAAAAAGCTGTCACCAAAATAAAAAAATTAAAAAAAATTACTGTAAAAGGAGAAGGCTAAATTGAGAACCAATATTTTTTCTTTTGGCCAACTTAAAATTTCGAAAATTTCAAAACATTTTTTAGAATTTTAAAAATCTTTTTGTTAACCCAAAATATTCATTAGAAATAAATAAAATAATTAATAAATATTCTCTTTTTTTTAATTAAAGAGATATTCCTTTGGATTTCCTTGGGATTAAATGTTGGTCTCGCTTTTTTTTTTGGAAAATTTATTAAACTAAATGAACAAAAAGTTTGACTAAAAATGGTAACTCAAAAGTTTTTTGATATTAAAGATTTTTGATATAAAGTGTGAATTTTTAAAAAATTAAGATCGGAACCCCCTGCTTTAAACCAACGTTTTTAATATTTTTATGCCTTGATTTGTAGAATTGTCAGCGGTATGTTGGGCAGCTGCGAAAACCTGTAATACTTAGTTTTTAGGAATAACGCCCCTACTGTATAAAATTTAAAAAAAAATAAATACATATTTTAATCAAAATAACGAAAAATGAGGAAAAAATTAAAATATTTTAATTAATTAGTTAAATATTATTTTAAATATGTATTAACAAAAGGCCTTTAAGTTTTCCTAAAATCTTTACAAAAAAAGCTCCGCCCATTTTATATACTCTTTCTCTCTTTCCTGTACATATTTGTCAGTTCCGCCTTTTTTTATTTACTAAGTATTTTATTTATTTAATTCTTTTAATTTTTCAACATTTTCCAATATAAATTTAATTTATTTCTATCTATTATTTACCATATTTTCTCTAAAATACCCTCCCCCTCTCAATTCCCCTTTAGTGGATAGGAGTGGGTATGTTAGAAAGTCTTTACTGTTAGGGGTTTTTTGAAAATAATTTTCCAATTCAGAACACCAAATCCATAATTTAAACCAAAATAAAATATTTAAAAAAGAACAGACAAGAATGTTCAATTTTTTAAGTTTGGATTGTTGCCTGAGGAGAAGTGGGAGGGAGGAGAGATATTCCAAAACAATATCCCTCTATTGTTTATTCTTTAAAGATATTTTAAAAAATAATTTAAATAAAAAATATCAATTTTAAATATTCTCCTCCTCCCCCTCCTTCCCCCCTCACCCCTCCCAAAATTATGCTTATCTAAATACATAAGAAAGTGCCAATTTTATTACTTGATTTTTGCCGCCTTTTTTAAGAGGACGAAATTGGTCATTTGGGATTACGCGATTAGAAGATATTTTTTTTTGATTTAAAAAAGGGAAAGTTGTTGAGCCTCTCAAGTTTTTTATGCCGAAATAAAAAAATAAAAAAAGAATCTCGGTGCGCAACTTTTGTTTTTGATTATTATTTTGTTAATAAAAAATACTTCAAATAAAAAGTAACTAGTATATCGACCTTGATTTTTTAAGTATTTTTTGGCAAAGCAATTTCCGTTTCCCTTACTATTAGATTAGTAATAATTAAGAAAAAATGAATTATTTTTTACCTTTCAACTTCTTATTTTATTTTTAAAAATTAATTCAAAATTTTTATTTAGTAATTTTTATTTAGTAAAAAAAATTCTTTAGAATAAAATTTGGAATTGGAAAAATATTTTGATTTTTTTGAAAAATAAAATAGAAATAATTTAAATTTAAAAAATTTCGATAAATTTTATATAAATTTTAATTATTTTTTTCTCCTATTTAAAAGAAATATATTAAAATTAAATTTAGTATATATTACAAAACAAAAAAACTCCATAGGGGGTATACTTAAAGACTGACATTTTTTGTGTTTATTTATGTCAAAGTTTATTAGACCGGAAATATATTTAAATATTTTAACACTTTTATGAGACAGTAAATAAAAATAATCTTTCCAATAAATCTCTGAACATTTCTCTCTTTTTTTTCTTAAAAACTTTCGGCATTTTCTCTCCTTTCCCCCTTCCTTTTACTAATACAGTAAAAAAGAAGAGAAGAACGAAACACTTCAGAAAAAGGTAAAAGAACACTTTCTTCTTTATGGCCTTGGCAATTAGGGGATTAACAATTAATGAAGAAAATATATTTTGAAAAAAATAAGAAAATTGTTTTTCAAAAAAAATAAATTTATTTAAAATTACAAAAAGAAAATTAGAAAACTTGACAGAAATTAAAAAATAAATTTATTTTTATTTTAAATTTATAGTGAGGGAGTTAAATTGTTTTTTTTATATCTCATAATTTCACAATATTCCATAAATTATTGAAAGAAATTTTGACAGGTAAAGTCTTCAAAATATAGACAAGATTTGAGATTTAGGGTGTGTTTATAATTAGTTAATAAACTTTACAGTAAAATAATTAAAAGAAAATTAAAACTTTTTTTAAATTCAAAAAATACTAGCCTAAATTTTTAAATAAACTTATAAATTAGAGCCTAGAAATTTTTAATTTATGAAAATATTAATTAATATTTTTTGGTAATTATTTACTAAAATATTTATTTAATTCAAAATTTGAAAATAATATTAATTTATTTTGACAATATTTGAATGGAAATATATAAATAAATAAATAAACGAATAAAAAATATTCCAGCTGCCTACTTTTTGAATTTTATTTAAAAAATTTTCGGAAATTAAATGATAAACAAATACTTTAAAATAAATGTAATAAAATTTGGAAACAAGTAAAAAAAGATTTTTAGCTTTCCTATATCTTTAGTTTTGCTAGCTTTGAATGATATAAAATTTTTCAAGAGTTGTGATTGTTTGAATGACTTTGGCGTCACATTGTTAACGACAAATTATCTTTTAAATCCAAAGGTTTAGGCTTTATTTGAACATTTTGGGCACCAATTTGACAACGCACTTTATTTACTACTAAGTAGGTGTGACCCAACTACGCATTAGTTATATCGCTCCTCGACCACCCACCCACCATTTTTGCTTACTTTTATTGGCCCAGATCTTGTAACTTCTTTCAGCCCCTAGATCTGTTTTAAGCCATTGTACTTTCAAATGTCATGGAATATCCATCTTGCGCGTATATTAATTTAAAGAAATTTGGATCGACAGACGTAAAGGCGTCACTAATAAATATTTATACTATTCGAATTATTATTATCCCAATCCATCTTCTAATTTTTCTCATTTTCCCATAAACAAAAGAAAAAAAATAAAAGTTTTTGGAAATAATATATGTGCTTGGCCAATTTGTCAGCGGCAGTCTTAGTGTCGCCATTCACCTAAAAAACCTAGCACGAACAGACCAAAAGGAAAAGGCCCTGATTTAAACAAAGACCTATATTAATATATAGCGGTGATCGATGGGATTTAATGTAAAGAAAAGGGGGGATATTGAACGGGCAAACAGGCAACAGATATTAAAAAGACAAAGTTTAACAAAGAAAGAAGGCGAAAATTCAGCTGTTGAAGGGGATTTTTAATTTAGAAAATTTAAAAATTACTAAAATTGAATATTTAGAAATAGAAAAAGACCTGTTGATTGCTATGCCTCCTGCATAGCTTTAGGAATTAAATAACTATTCACTTTATAATATGTATTTTAAAAATACTTTGTTTAAAGTTAATTCAACTTCTCAAAATCATTAAAACATAATAAATACTAACATTAAATAAATCTTATCTCTCAAAAAGTAAATTAACCAATAATTTGCTACTTAAACTTAAAAAACCCAAACAAGAATTAATTGGGGGTAATAAAAATATTATTTTATTTTGTGCCATTTTTATTACTTTTTGTTTTTGAATAAATGTAAATATTTATAGTTTTGTCAATTATCAATAAGAAAAAGGGGAAGTTGTTGAAAAAAGAAAATTTTAAACAAAAATTAAATTACTTTACTATAAATTTCAAATGAAATTTGATTCAAAATACAAACACACAAGAGAATATTATTATTGAAAAGAAAAAGGTAAATTGAATAATAAAAATCTTTAAAGGTGTTATCGCCATGAAAATGTCTGATTTTGAAAATAAATCTGTTGTTTTTGTTGTTGTTGGGGTAGGATTTTTTGTTGTTGTGATTGTGGTTGGTGATATTTTGTTTGTGAATATATAACATTAATTGGAATATTTTGTTCTCCCATTTCAATTCTTCTATTTCGCATTTTTCTACTTAATTCAGCTTTCCAGTAATCAGCAATTTCATGTAATTTTAATTCAACACCATCAATCCTTCAAAAAATATTTTAAAAAATTAAATAAAAAATATTAAAAAAACCATCTTTCAGTTGTATTTTTAATTCTTGTTCTATTCCTTTTTTGTTGAGAGTTAACAATCATTCGATTTTCGTCTTCCACACCATCTCCTGCATAAATTGATGGACGTTTTCGCTTCCGTTTCTTCGAAGCTTTTGAATTCATAAAATCTGTGTCACCGTTAGTAAGAGCAACATTTCCATTTTCTGCAGGGCTATCATCATCTTCAATCGAATATTGATCAACTCTTATTTTGTACTGAAAAACAAATTTTAAAATTTAATTGAACAAGAATTAAACAACCAACCTGCTCGTAATATCCCTCTGGAGGATGTTCCAAGTGACCAATAACTACTCGAACCTCGTCATAATCAGTCAAATGTGTCCAAACACGCGTATCCTTTAAATGTTTTATTTCTTCAAAATTTTTTAGAAATTAAAAAACAGGATCATCGGGATCAGAGGGCCACATATCCATCCAACGAATTGAAGCATAAATTTGACGAAAGCGAAGGGCTAAGGCATGAAGCGAAGATGCTCTGCTTGTAAGGTAACGCCAACAATGATCAAATGCAGGCCGTGGACACAAATAAGGCCATGCTTGAGGATTGGCTTTTGCAGATGGCAAAAAGCCGGGAGCCAACGTTTTAGCACTTAAACCTCCTTGACGAGCTAAACGACGCATACACCTGAAATTTAAAAAAATAATTTGTATTTTGAAAAGAAAATCTGTGCTGTATATCGAAATGCAGACTTTTAATGAATTCTTATGTTTTCACACACCTATTTTAAGAAAACTATCGACATTTTTATTCACCGTTCGTTTTAATTGCTTAATTAAAATTAAGTTCTAATTGTTATTTAAAGGAGTAAAAATATATAAATTATAGTTAATTAAAGGAAAGTGCCCTGTATAGAAACTAACCAATTTGGAAGAATGAGAATGCTTTCCTTTGTTCTTCCATTATTGCACGATTTACGTTTAAAATTATAAGGCTTAGGATAAGGAAAAGTATTTGTTTCAGATTGCGTCGAATGTAGAGATAATTCTCGGTTAATAGATGGAGGTTTTGCTCTTGCAGGTTGTTCAGAAGTAAAAACATCTAACGACAAAGAAAAATATTAATTTGAAAAAAATTTTACTTGGCAGATTTCGCACACAGCTTGGATTGTAACAAGGTAATAAAATGGATGAGTCAATTAAAGAAAACCCGTTTCTTGGTTTCTTGATAGAAACAAAAGCAGCTCGGCAAGAAAATGAAAAACAACAATGACCATTGACATTCGAAAGTTTGGCTAACTCTTCTTTTGTTCTCCAAATTAGTAGACGGTTAGCAATCTGATAAAGATGAGCAGCTTTTAGAGAAGCAACAGACTTTGAAGGTTTCTGAATTAATTTGATTTTGTCAGGAATTTCTCAAAGAAAAATGTAAGAAAAACAAATCACCTCATATGGATTTGGTTTCTCAGGACATGGGACAAAACGCCGTGTCATTAATGAAGAAACCCAAAGCCATCCACCTGACAGAAAGTATAATTTTGAAATAATTTAAACCAAACCTAATGATCCCTGTCCATTTACTCGGAACTGTTCATTTCCATCTCTTAGCCTCCACAAGTTATGTCTAGGTAGATTAAAACCATAAAGGGAATATTTGACCCAAACAATCCCAGTTGATTCAGATTCATCAGCATTAGCAAGTAGCTAAAAATGAAATTTTATTTGAAAAAACATGTGGGATTTTTTTAAATTTCGAACAGAAAATTTAAATAAATTCTATACCTTTTCTTCTTTCCTTCTTAACGATTCAAATTTTTGTCGCTTTTCTCTATCCTAAAATATAATAAATTACTGAAGTAAAAATACTTTTAAATTAACCTCAACAGTAACTCGATTAAACCTGGTCAAAGCTAATCCTGCCCACCAAATACTTGAAAATAAAATTTAAAAAATTAAAATATTAAAAATGATTACTTTAAAAACACAGGTTTGCGAACAACTCGTTCAAAAAGAAGCAACAAATAGCGTAAAGTATTAAAGTTAGCACCTTCTCGTAATAGTTGCTGCATAAAACGTTCCTTTTCATTTTCAAGAATCCAATTTTGATGCATTAATGTATCAGGAATACGTTCAATCATGCGACGAATGCTAAGTTGAATACATTTAAGAACATCTGCTTCTGTTCCAAACGGGGAAGCTCCCCTATGGTTGGGCCACTTAAAATACTAACTTTTAACGAAGAAAAATAAAAAACAAACATTGAATTCTCCATCATCAGTTAAGCAGAAACGAGAATTTAAATAACGCTTTTTATCACGTTCTTTTGCTCGCAAATAAGGAGATCTAGCCAAATCATTTACAGAAAATTGATTGACATAATTTCTGTGTCCAGCGTCAGAAAATCCAAGACGAATTCCTCTACGCATTCGTAGTTCTAAATCTGAGGAAAGCGAATAAAATGAGCCATAGTTGTTTGATTGAAGAGAATCATTCCATACTTTATGATTAAAAATTAGTTGATCTTCTAAAGAGTTTTAATTAAAAATACAAAATTTTAACAAAAAGTATCTAACCATTCAATTTTCCACTCCAATAACAAGCTTCTAATCTACCATGTCGAATACAAAGAAGATTGCGAATTATTTGCATTATGCTGGGCTTTTCCACACTATCAACATTATTATCAGTAATTTGCTCTGATTTATTGTCCGCTTCAATTTGAGCTTCAGTCAAGATTTTAGCCATTCGATGGGAATTATCGACCTGAATTTTATTCAGAAGGTCAATTTATTAAATAAAACCTGTAAATATGCATCAACAACTGGCTTAGGCGATTTGGTTTGTAATAACCTACGCCGTTCTTCTGTCAGTTCAAGGGTAATATGCATTTGAACAGCAATGTGAGGCAAACATTCGCAAAGCGTTTGACATAACCTCTTTTCATAATAATTAGGGTCAAGAACAGCACAAAGATCAAAAAGTTGAGGCAAAGTTGAGTAATAATAAATTTCATTAATAAATGGATCATGACTGAAAACATTCAATTACTCTATTTATTATCTAGTTAAACTGACATAAAAACCCTTCTAACAAGGAACCAATAAATACGACCTTTGCGATCATAACCAAGTGGCAACTTCCTTAGAGTAGTCTGACCAGGTAAGATACAATCAGTTGAACCAGTTAACTGAAAATGTTAAAACCAATTCTAAAAAGCTTTAATAATTAATAAAGGATAAAATTAGAAAAGATAAATTGAAAAAATATTTAAATGTAATTATAAGATTTTAATACTTGGTGTTTAATACAAACAGAGCAAAGCCATTTCTCGTTTAACTCAGGCGGACCAAAAGAAGATTCTGTACAATTAAAATGATAAATTGCATCACAGCCAGAACATTCTATTGAGGTTTGTTGTGATTCGTGAGAGCCAATACAAGATTTTGCACAATAACGACAATGTTGGTCATGCTAAAAATATTAGAAAATAAACTTTCTAAAATTTTTAAAATAAAACCTTAATTTTTCCTTCATCGCGAACTAATTGTTTAAATATGGTTGTCTCAAAAAACCGATCACACATCCATTTGAGAACGACTAAACGTTTATCCATAGCTACAAATGGATATTTTCCCTCTTCCAAAATTTTTAAGACTTCTGCTGGAAAATTTGGATCACTTTCCAAATACAGTCTCAAAACCTATTTAAAATAAAAATATTTTTTAATTATTAAAGTATTTACTTCAGCATAGTTCATATGGTCGAGTAATTGCAGTACAACGTTAAAAGAAAGATTTGTATCAAAAACAGAAAATGTAGTTTTTTCTTGTTCCTCTTCAGAGAAAAATAAACGCAAAAAAGCAATATGAATTTCTCCAAGGAGTTTAGACTTAAATTAAAAACAAAATATGTAGAATTTATGAAAAACTAACTTGACTTTGGTTTCGCAAAGCACAACAAAAATCTTCAAAAAGAAAAGGAGAAAGTTGAATGGTAGAGCCAAAATTATGAATTACTTCATAAACCTAAAGACATTAATCAAATAACCAGATAGATAACCTCTAAAGTATGTAAGATATGATCGCTATCAATAAGAAGGTCCATGCTGGCTCCAGGCAATTCTAATGCAGGGATTCTCTCAGGTGGAAATTCCAACCACGGGCAAAACATATCAGGTGGAGTTTGTGAGCAAGTGGCTTCTGACACATCTTGTGTAGCAGAATCAACATCAGAAACAGTTGACATATTATCCTCACTGACCCCGTTAACCTCAGCCTCTAAAATATGAAAATAAATAAAATAAGAAAAATTACCGGAGTAGGCAGCAGAACTCTCATCATCAGGTTCAGAAGCTGAGAAAGATGCCCGATTCCATCCTTTCGGTTGATCCAATTCATCATCACTCTCTTCCCAAGGATTTCTCTTTCGTCCCCTATTCATAAGATTTTTGGAAAATAAAAAAACTAAATAAAATAAACCCATCGATCTGCTTTAAATCACGTCTTCGCGAGGTTATCCGGCCGTCTCTTTTAGAGCTAGTAATCGACACTAAGGATTTTGATGAAGACCTTTTTCCTCTTCTTTCTTTAACAACATTTCGTCCCTTTTTAACACCTCGTAAGTTTCTGTTTGGCGTAATATCTTTACTTCGAATATTTGCAAGCGATTCAGTTTGTTGACAATTGGGATATTTTGTCGCACGTCTTGTAGTTACAGGCATTAAAAAATTAGAATCTTTTTCGAATTATTTCAACTTTAATTAAAAATTTTTTACATTTGAGTAAATAAATTTTTAAAAAATTTAAAATATGCGAGAAAATATAAAAATTTTAAAAACAATACTCAATAAACATTAGATGATTAGAAACAACTTAAATTCCAACAAACATAAATGCTTTAATAAACGTGTAGGTACAAAATATCTCAAAGTAAAAATATCGTCAGAGCAAAAAAGTTAAAATATCGTTTCATGAAAATATCGTCGCGGCTAAAATGGGTAAATCGAAACCCTTAAATGGTTTCGAGAAAAATCAGCAATTTAAAAAAACTCAAAATAGACTTACAAATTAATGGTGGCCCTTTTTAATTTTAAAAACGATGTAATGACCAAATTTACCCGTGCCGATATTTTCATGAAACGATATTTTAATAAACGATGTTTTGTACCGTGCGTTTAACAAAAGATAATAAAACAGACGGTGATACAAAGAAATAAAAAGCAAAATGACATAAATTTGGCGAAAATTCAAAATTTGATTATAATTTATTTGTTAGGGACTGGCGAAGGAGCTCAACAGAAAAAGGGGAAAGTTGTTCCAATACGTGGGGGGGGGCTAATATTTAAGATATCGACACATGCCCTAATCGAGCTGGATTTTCTATTCGCGGCATACAAGTAATGTTCGAGCTTAGTTTGCCGTATCGCTTGATTATTTGAAGAGTGAAACGAAGAAACAATTTAGAAAATGAATACATAACACACCAAAATTTCCATCAAAGCTCTCTTAATAATAAATCTGTCCCTAATTAATATATATTTTCCTTTTAATTTAAATTCTTGTTTCCTAAATATTCACATAAAAATATTATTTTTTTTCCACAAAGCGCAAGATTAGAGACAATTTCTCGGGATAAACAAAAGAATCTTTTTTAATAAATTGATTTCTTTTTTTCTTCATTTTCATCCTTCTATTGACCAATCAAATCAACAAAAACAATTTAATTGTTGTAAACAAATAAATATATTTTGAGAAAAGAAGAAGAAGAATGAATGACTAATAAATAAATAAATTTAAGTATAAGACAATGAAATGAATAAAAAAATATTTATTTATTTATTTACTTGAGTCCGAAACATTTAAGTGTTTATTTTTAATTTAAAAATATTTTCCCTTTTAACAAAAATTAATTTTAATTTTTTGGTCATTTTATACTTTTATATTTTGTTTTTATTTTTAAATGATGATTGGTATATTTATATTTAGTAATTAAATATATTTATTGATATATAATTGACGTAATTAAACTAGTTTTTCTTTTTTTGTTTGTTATTTTAATTTCCGAATTGTGAAATAATTAAAAATAAATAAAAATTATTTTTAAAAAAGAACTCTAAGAAGAGGATTGCCAATAAATTTTTTTAATTTAAATTTTTATTTATAAAATATCTAGAGTGCAGTAAAATTTTTTTATTTTGAATTAACTACAATACTTAAATTTATATATCATCTACCTATTCCCTTCTCTCGTTCTATTTTTAATCAAAACTGTTTGATTTCATTAAACAAAAGACTATTTTTAAATTTTTTATCTAACAAAATTAAAATTAAAAATAAAATCTAAATAATTTCCATTTAATAATTCCAACAACCAACATTCTACGAGAACAATTTTAAAAATAATTTATTTAAAAAATAGAGCAAAACACCGTGCGGCCATAACGGCGCAAAGCCATAACTTGCTGGAAAATGTCTGGCCCTTGCCAATTTTGGGAGAGGAATTGTTTGATACTAATCTGGTAGGATTAAGAATCTTGAAGAAAGTTATGGCTTTGCGTGTTTGTTATGGCCGCGCTCAGTTTTAGGTGTGCCTCCTCCAGACGGTATTTTTGTCAGACGGTGTTTTGTCCCTCGCCTATACATAAATACTTCGAGAACGAAAATTTAATAATTTTACTATGTTCATAACTAAATATATTTATTTATTTGGACCAATCATCCATTCACTAATCACACCCCCCCTTCCCCCTCCCCTCTTTTTTTTTCTCTCAATAATTTTGTCCTCAATTCAATTGAGTGTAAATCCTTTTTAGACGTAAATATATCGAGGGAAAACAAACACAAAAAAGTTTTGCCGTCCTTTTCGTTTATTCAAAAAAGAAAAAAATTTTTTTGTTGGCACATAAAATAGCCTTTCCTTCCTTCCCCAATTTTAAAAAATAAATACAGTGTGTAACAAAACTATAAGCCACCTCAAATTTTTTAATTTTTTAGGGTTCTAATGAATGAAAATTTTTGAAATTTTAACCCAATATTGAAAATGTAATTTCAAGTAAAAATTAAAAAAAAATTTAATTAAAAAATCTTACAAAAAATTTTTTTCGAACTTTTTCTGAAATTTAGGTGTAACATAACTATAAGCCATCTTGGAAAAATTTTATTTTTCATATTAGAAATGTCTGAAAAATTTTGCAAAAATTTCTGTGATCATTTCCATCGATATAGTGTAGAAAAGTAAAAAGAACGAAGTCATTAACTGCTTTCTTCATTGAGATCTAAAATCTCAAAAATCAACTGAAAACGAGGGTACAGTACTTCAAAAAATATTTTAACCCCCTTAAGGCTTATATAAAAATTTTCTTTTAGGCCTATCTGAAAGCCCATAAAATTTACTACAAAATAGCCCGGGACATAATTTTTCAAAAATATATATATATTTGAGGTATGTCCACTTAACTTTAAAAATACTAAAAACTCTCAAAATACCCCATAAATGATCACTTAAAAATTCCTCGATGATTAAGTCCATGTGTTCTTTATTTTGAAAAATTATGTCCCGGGCTATTTTGTAGCAAATTTTATGGGCTTTCAGATAGGCCTAAAAGAAAATTTTTATATAAGCCTTAAGGGGGTTAAAATATTTTTTGAAGTACTGTACCCTCGTTTTCAGTTGATTTTCGTTTTCAGTTGATTTTTCCTTTTTAGACGTAAATATATCGAGGGAAAACAAACACAAAAAAGTTTTGCCGTCCTTTTCGTTTATTCAAAAAAGAAAAAAATTTTTTTGTTGGCACATAAAATAGCCTTTCCTTCCTTCCCCAATTTTAAAAAATAAATACAGTGTGTAACAAAACTATAAGCCACCTCAAATTTTTTAATTTTTTAGGGTTCTAATGAATGAAAATTTTTGAAATTTTAACCCAATATTGAAAATGTAATTTCAAGTAAAAATTAAAAAAAAATTTAATTAAAAAATCTTACAAAAAATTTTTTTCGAACTTTTTCTGAAATTTAGGTGTAACATAACTATAAGCCATCTTGGAAAAATTTTATTTTTCATATTAGACTGATGCTATCAAATGATGCTATCAGCTAACTGATGCTATCAAAAATATTGAACAATGGGCAACTGAATGGAAATTAAATATTGCTATTAATAAAACATATATCATTTATCTTGGTAAAACTAACCCTAAAGATCAATATAAAATTTTTAATACAACTATAAATGAAGTAGATTCTATACGTGATCTAGGCATCATAATAGATAATAAACTCAAATTTCAAGAACATGTACAAAAAATTATTCGGGCAGCTTATATAAAAATGAATTTTGTGTTTAAAATAATTAAATCAAAATCTATAAAAACATGGCTTACTATCTATAAAAGTTATATAAGACCCTTGCTTGAATACTCTCCTGAAACATGGAATCCACAGCTAAAATCTGATATTATCAAACTCGAAAAATGCCAAAAATTCTTTACAAAAATCTTACTTCGAAAATGTTCACTACCCTATATACCATATTTACAAAGATTGGAATTTCTTAATCTTCCTACTCTTGAAAATCGTCGTAAGACTTATGATTTAGTATTAGCTCATAAAATCCTACACGGGTATACACATCTTAAATCAGATGATCTTTTTAAAGTATCAAATAGAAAAAACTGTTATTTGTTATCTAAAAATCAAACATCAAAATCTTCCAATTCATTTGTTAATAGGGTAACCAAGATGTGGAATGTTTTAAATGATGAACTCAGAACTACAAAAATAACACTTAGTTTTAAAAATAAAATAAAAGCAATACTCATTCAGTAAATCTACAATTTTGAAAAAATATTCTGAATTCTAATTTCACTTACCTATTTGGAAAAAATATTCTAAATTCCAGTTTCACTTTCCTATTAACAAATTAAATCCAAAAAATCTTAGATCTAGAAAATTTTCCAATTTCATCACAAATAGCATCATTCAGAATTGACAGCTATTTCAAGCTCAAAGCCTCTAAATTCTTACAATGTTTAAAAAATCGTAGTAAAATTTCAAAATTTTTCATGTTACATGTCCAAGATTCAAATGTTTATTTTGAATGTTAATTTCTTAGGAAGAAATAAAATGTTATCAACTTTATAAGAAATAAATAAAAAATATTTACTTTATATAAAAAATCCTCTGTTAAACGTAATTTTTCCATTTTTTTTTTATGATCAAGTAAAGAATGTAAAGATAATTTATCAAATAGTCTTTTACTTAAATTCATAAATTTCCAAAAATTAAGGGTTTTTTACTAATTGAATATGAACTAAACATATTCTCAGAATTCTAACCAAATCATGTTTACTTAAATGCTTAGAAATTGTAAAAGCAAAAAGTTAGGCAATTTGTTAAAATAATCATAAAAACATTTTTAATGTTTTTAAATAATCACCTATTTTCTAGTATATAGATTTTATTTTTTCTATATAGTAGCTATATATTGTTATTTTTCTTTCCTTTTTAAGTAAACATTTAAATTATAATTTTGAATTATGTTTGGCATTCTGTTCAAAAAAATTAATTTAAATGACAATTTATACAAGCATCTCTTACTCTTTCGCATTCCCACTATTTCTTCTTTTTGATGACTCATAAAATTAAATTTAAAAAAAATTTTTTTTGTTTTCTTCTCTCCTAATTTTTATTAAAATTTATCTTTTTTTTTGTTTAAAAAGCATTTTATTTTTTTTCTTTTAAGGAAATT